GGGGGGGGGGGGGGGGGGTGAGAGTCGGAGGTGAGAGTCGTGCGCCCCTGAAAGTCAAAACCTATGTGGAATAGTATTTAATATTGTATATATAGCAAAAATAATACGTTATTTTTCAAACTTGTTTTGTTAATAACTATTTAACGAAGGATGAGCAATGGCTAAAACTTGTTGGAGGTTACTCAGGGTCATGATCTTGACAATATAGTCAAGGTCAAGGTCATGGGGGGGTCCCCTAATCGGAACTTTTACCAAAAGTATTATTAATTAAAATTTACCGATATCTCTCTGATTAATATAAAAATTTTTTATTTACAAGTAAAAAAATATTATACACACTTACTTTTGACGAAACGTGCGGCTAATTAAGTAAAGAGCAATGGGATTAACACAGCTATTGATGAAACTGAGGCAGAAACCAAATACCCTAAAGGCGTTCCAGTAAGAATTAAAATCGTCCATGGCCGTTGGATTAAAATGGAACCAGAGCACATATATGTGATATGGTAGAAAACAAATCACAAAAATTATTATAAAACACACTACCATTTTGCCCACCTAAATTGCAATAACAAACGAAATCATTAATACAAAAGCGTCCAACAAGAGGCAATTGAATCTTAAAAACTATTTAATGGTACGAAGCATGATTTTAATACTTGAAACTTTAAGAAGTTTGAAACTATAAGAAGTATATTTTTATATACCCTTTTGCGCGCCTTTATCTGTTCGTGAAGATCAGAACCGGGAAGTTCGCATGGCATATTTCTAGTTGACAATGTTAGATGCCATGTCATGCTCAAATAGAAAATAGCTATTACGCACAATGGTATCAAGTAATATGCTAAAAATTTGAACATTACCATACCCTTTCGATAAATTTCTCCTGTAATGTAAAAGCACGTATAACATAGTATCTCAGTAAACACAATGTTACATGTAACGTTAATGTAACATGCAATGTCAGCTCAACAAAATAACTATAATATAACACACTGTTATATTACAGTTATCTTATAGAGCTGATATTGCATGTTACATGTAACATTGCGTTTATTGGGATTTATCTGTGCGCGACTACTTCACAACACAAAGCGTTTTATAAAATTTATATATATTTTTTTAGTGTACCTAATTTAGTTTTTATATTATTCAATGTATTAAAATAAAATACTGTGTAATAATATTTAAGTTCCGAATATAATAAATAAAGGCTCTGATTAGGAGAAATATTTAACTTTCAGAAAAGATAAAAATGCAAACGTTATTAATTTTGAGGGAAAGATAAATCAATAAGAACCAACGCGGATGTCGACAATAATAACAATATATTTAATCTCTTACTCACAGTAAATTATATATGTAAAAATGCAAATATTTTGTAAATCAATAAATTTAATATAATATAATTAATAAATTAATATTTTATCATTATAATAAATATGTTTCATTCGTATCTAAAAAAAAATTTTTTAATTAGTAAAAATGATATTATCGTATAAACTGATTAAAATTTCATTATGAATTTTACAATTTGCACATTCATTTATGTGTTCCTAATTTTGTGATATTTCAAGAGAAGTGTACCATGACTTACCAAATTCTTTAGGGAAAGGATTGCAGATTAAAATGCTACGATTTCCTAATACAGGTACAGACGTTACTTCGGAGAAGAGCACGGCGGGCATA